GGAAACGCTCGTTGGAATGTTCGGCATTGGCAATTTACCAACAGGTGACAAAGATCCGTTTGCCTTGCGCCGACATGCATTGGGGATGGCACGGATGTTGGTTGAGAAGAACTTGCCACTGCAAATCTATGAATTATTGCGAATTGCATATGCTGCATACCCGCCAGGAATGTTGGCAGAGAACCAGATAGAAAGTGGGATATTTATTTTTGAGAGATTGAAGGGTTATCTGCGTGATTCAGGCAATTCTTTGTCAGAAGTTGAAGCAGTCATTCATGCGCCTGGCATGGTTACTTGGTCTGATATACCCAAGCGCCTTAACGCCGTGCGAGCTTTCGCTGCTTTACCCGAAGCCGCCGCTCTTGCAGCCGCCAACAAACGCATCAGCAACATATTGAAAAAAATCAAAGACATTGACGCCATCGATGCACATGTCAGCACCGTTTTGCTCAAAGAGCCAGCTGAAATTGCTTTATATGACACCATGAACAAGCTGGCACCTCAGGCCAAAGCACAGTTTGACGCGGGTGACTACACCGCTTCACTGCAAACATTGGCTGCGTTCAGAGAGCCGGTGGATGCGTTCTTTGAAAACGTGATGGTCAATGCCGAACAAATGGATGTACGCGATAACCGTCAAGCTTTGCTCAAAATATTGCATGAAACCATGAACCGTGTGGCTGATTTGTCTAAGTTGGCGACTTGAGTAAATAAGCTATGAAACTCATCATTCTTGACCGTGACGGCACCATCAATCAAGACAGCGATGACTTCATCAAATCGCCGGAAGAGTGGATTCCCATTCCTGGCGCATTAGAGGCCATTGCGCGATTGAACCACGCCGGCTGGCATACCGTGATCGCCAGCAACCAATCGGGCTTGGGTCGGGGTTTGTTTGACATTTCGGCACTCAACGCGATACATGCCAAGTTGCACAAGCAGCTCGCTGCATTGGGCGGCCGGATGGATGCGATTTTCTTTTGCCCCCACACACCCGATGACAACTGTAACTGCCGCAAACCTTTACCAGGTTTATATGAGCAAATTTTGGATCGCATGGGAATTGATGCCACTGGTGTATTGAGCGTGGGTGATACCTTGCGTGATATAGAAGCCATTGTTGCAGCTGGTTGCGAGCCGCATTTGGTTTTAACAGGAAAGGCCAAACACCTGCGTGGCCAAACTTTACCGCCTGAATACCCTACTCATACCACTGTGCATCAGGATTTAACTGCGTTTGCAGATTTTGTGATCAAACGCGACAAGGCAAAAGTATGAACCGCATCATCAATTTTGTAAGAAGCAGTATTCATGCGCTGTTTTTATTCATCACCTTGGTACCCTGGACGGTGGTGGCCTTGCTGACATCTGTGTTTGCTTCAGGCACCACCATGTACTGGGTGT